AGGTAAGACAGTTCTTCGGGGTTGCTCATGCACCCAGGCAAGTTTCCTTTCCTGCTCGTCCTTGTTGTTTCGTGGCGCCTCTTCTGTCTGGTGTGAGTTGTATGCCAGCTGCTTGAAGCTTGGTCCTTCGTCTTGGAGTTGAGTTCCTGCAACGCCCTTGCATCTCGTGGGTTGCAGTGTTGCGGTCCTGCTTGTCATAGCTGGCTTGTGTGACCTTATAATCGTCCCTTTTTTATTATCAGGGGGGGTTTATCCAAATGTCATGTTTGGGGTCCACAGGGTTTAGGGTGTAGGCTTCAGGCTTTGACTGGGAGGGAAGGGAGGGCTGGGAGGGAAGGGAGGGAAGGGAGCTTCAGGATGTTGGTTGGCTTGAGGGCTTTCCCTCACCCGCCCCCCCCATTCGGAATGCGGGTTTAAAAGGCGGGCTCGGTTTCGGCAGGATTTCTGGAAAGTGCTTTTATAATTGCGGGAGCGTTTTATAAACGGGGGAAGCGATTACTTGTCCAAGGCCTCAACAATGATGTCGATGATGGACTTGACGAAGGCTAATGCATAATTGAAATTTTGTCTGCTGCGGGCATTTTGCTCATCTTGAAGTAGTTCTCTGCTGTGGCGTCCAGGTCGATCTGGTTCTCTCGTATGACGTGGCTGAGAGCTTCGCTAGGCATACCGATTCTGCGGCTCAGGCTACCGGGTTTCAAAGGGGATCCGAACTAACCCCCCAAAAAGGCAACGTGGGTACTACTGGGCATTCACGACTTCTGTTGCGAAAGGCACCCTGAACCCTAAATCCTAAACCCTAAACCCGAAAGCACTAAACCCTGAACCCTAAACAACCCTAAACCCTAAACCCTAAACCCTAAACCCTAAACCCTAAACCCTAAACCCTAAACCCTAAACCCTAAACCCTAAACCCTAAACCCTAAACCCTAAACCCTGGCCGCTTCATGTCGGGGGTGGAAGAGTTTAGGTATGCCCGGGGTTAAGAAGCTTTCGGGTAGATGGGGCTGGGGCTCAGAATCAGACCTCGGCCCAAGAGGACCTTCGAAAAAGGGTGCCCTTGTTGGTTTCAAAGGCGCATATTAGGGAAACTCAACCCAAAAAGGGGGAATAAGGGCCTAGTCGGGGTCCTAGATAACTAACCGAAACCCTTCGAAACCCTAAACCGTCTAACCCTAAACCCGAACCCCTAAACCCTAAACCCCAAATCCTAAACGCTAAGCCCTGAACCCTAAACCCGAAACCCTAACCCCGAAGTCCTAGAACCCTATAAACCCTGAACCCTACACCCGGCGGGCTGGCCTCCCAAGGGATCCTGGAAATCGTCGCTTTGAGCCCGTGCCAAGGAGGCGCAAGCGCGGGGGTCGCTAGAGAGATTGTCCCAAACCACCTACTAAGAACCCTAAACCCTAAACCCAAACCCTAGGAATGTGTACGAATTTTCTTGTTCAGGCTACGGGTCTCCAACCCGCACACCCTCAGCCACTGGAACGCCCTTGGCAGGACTCCTTGGCCCTAAGCCCTAAGCTTTAGACCCTAACCCTTGAGCCCTAAACCCTGAGCCTCATAAACCCTCAACCCTAGGCCCCGAACCCTAAACCCGAAGCCTCATAAGCCCTAAACCCTAAGCCCTAAACCCTCAGCCCTGAACCCCAGCCCGAAGGCTCCAAATACCCGACACCCCAAAGTAGATGCTACGTGTGGGATGTTCCTCCTTATACTAACAGTCATGAGTCGGGATTGTAGTACCCCATCCCTACTAAGGACTGTTAGTATTAGGGGGGAACATCCCAAATGCTATGCGTGGGCTTGGAGCCCTAGGGACAGACTCGGAGGTTTAGGGTTTAGGGAAAACCCCAAACCCTAACCCTAAACCCTAAACCCTAACATTGCAGGGTTGGCAACATGAGCACCTCCCTTATTGCAAGACCTGACAAACATGGCTACCGCACAACCCAAGCCCGAAACCCAAAAACAATGAGTAGGTAAGCCCTGAAAGCAACAACAAAATTGAACCCTAGAAACCTCAACCCCGGAGAAACGGCTTGAAGCTACCAATTTAAATTTGAGGCTGTCTGTGTTGCTGTTGAGGACCTCAAAACCCAAAACGTCATGGGTCTAAACAGCAACATCACTTGAACAACAAGCCAGCCTTCAATAGACCGGGCTCCGAAATCAGGGGAGGGGGGGGGGGGCCCTTATTCTAAGGGGATTCTACTATTGGGGGTCTAGATTCGGGGTCCCTTATTTTCCTGGAGTTCACCTTCCGACCCAGTTCCTTGGTTCCTCAGGCTAGGATGGAGGCTGCCAATCCCAAAAATCAAGGGAACAACGGTACTACTGAGATCCCAGATTCCAGAGGCTCACCTTGCAAGTCCTTTGTGGCTTCGTTCTGGCCGAGGGAAGCCATGTACCCAAACCAAACGGGAACTTTGAGCCTCCGCGTAGGGTTACAGTCTCCCTCACCCTAAAACCCCAGGGCCCTGAACCCTATAAACTACAAACAGATTCCAGGAACCCCCCCGCCCTAGACTTGTCGAACAGAGCTCTGATCCTACTTCTGACATAACCCTTACAAATGCCCTTCTTGCTTCTTACCCTAAACCCGATACCCTAAACCCCTAAAACCGTTAAAACTCAAGCCGAATCCCGCTAAGCCTAGGAGGACGGCTGCCAGGGTAAGCGCCAGGGTGCAGGTTCGTCGGCGGCCTACGTGTGGCGGAGGAGGGCTGTGGAGGGCTTCAGAGCTAACCCTAAACCCCAAACCCTGAACCCGAAGTCCTAAACCCTGAACCCTAAACCGTAAACCTTTTCAGAGAGGGTGGAGGAGGGGGGAGGCAACAGTGAGGCAGCTAAAGACTTGAAGCTTAGGTGATGCAAAACCCCGACACTGAATGCAACAAAACCTAAAGCCCTTCATGAATGTCAGAAGCTGAGGGGCTGAATACCCTAGCCCAAAGAGGGTCAACCTTTCATATATAGTAGGATTCTAAACTCTATAAACCCTAAACTCTAAACCCAAAAAGGTTAAAGGATACCTAGCCAGTTCCTGAGGAAGTTAAGGTAGCTCTTGGATGGGTAGTTGGGGCTTAGTCGGGATTTCCGCTTGATATGAGCTGAGATGTCCTGCGCATGTGGAATGCTTTGGACACGCGGTTTAGGGTTTAGGGTTTAGGGTTTAGGGTTTAGGGTTAGGGCCGGAGTTAGGGCTTTATAGCGTTGGGTGCAAAATAATTTAGTGTTTACAGTGGCGAGGGTTTAGGGGCTAGCCTCAAGACTACAAAAGGCTCTACCAGCCTGGAAAGCAATCCAGAAGCTTGCGTATTCCCTGCTCCTAAATCAGTGAACTGGGTTGCTCAGCAACCTAGGGGTAAAGAAAAGGTGCCCCTGGTTTGTCTAAAGGCTTTGTGCTTCAAAGGTTTTTTTTGGGGATCCGAACTCTGGTACAAGGGTGGATGTTCCCCCTTATACTAACAGTCCTTCATAGGGACTAGAATATGGGGATACTGAAATCCCTACTAAGGACTGTTAGTAGAAGGGGGAACATCCCAAGTACTAGACGTTGCATCCCTATTCCTATACTCCCCTTAGAACCTTCGTAAAAATAGTATGTTTAATATCCTCTTGGACTTTATAGGAACAAAAAACAATTCCCAAGTCGGATATATATATATATATATATGTCTGCTGCTGCCTGCCGAGTGCATTGCTTTCCGCCGAGGGGGGCTGATTTGGGGAAGGGGCGCGGTCCGCAAAGGCTGTGGACGTCTCGGAGCCACCGCGGGCGGCAAGCGATGCCCAAGACCCAAGCCGGGGTTTCGGGTTTTTTGGGTTTATAGGGTTTACAGGGTTTGCAGGGTTTATAGGGTTTATAGGGTTTACAGGGTTTACGGGGTTTATAGGGTTTGTAGGGTTTGTAGGGTTTATAGGGTTTATAGGGCTTATAGGGTTTATAGGGTTTCTAGGGTTTATAGGGTTTCTAGGGTTTCTAGGGTTTATAGGGTTTCTAGGGTTTATAGGGTTTATAGGGTTTAGGGTGGCCCAGAGCAAGACTAATCACGGAGCCGCATCGTGTCCCTAAGCCCCAGTTCGAACCCTGATCCCTCAACCCTAACCCCGGGACTCTCAACCCTAGATTCCCATGACCAGATGGCCCTGCGACCTCAACCCAAACCCTAAACCCGAAACCCTAAACCCGAAACCCTAAACCCTAAACCCGAAACCCTAAACCCCAAACCCTAAACCCGAAACCCTAAATACAATAAACCCTAAACTCGAGCTTACACATCCAGAAGCCACATATCAGGAACTCCTGGGACCCCATATTCTGGGAGCAAGAGAGGGCTCCGGGCTGACAGGGTTTAGGGTTTAGGGTTTGGGGTTTAGGGTTGTAAGCCGTAATTGCGGCTTGTATACAGGGTTAAAAGGCTTACAGGGTTTAGGGTTTAGGGTTTAGGGTTTAAGGTTTAGGGTTTAGGGTTGTAAGCCGTAATCACGGCTTACAGGGTTAGAGGCTTATAGGGTTTAGGGTTTAATGGGATCCGAATTCTCACTTCGCCAACATTCTGAATGACGAGGTCTTGGAGTCTCGGGTGGCCCATGTTAGGGTTTAGGGTTTAGGGTTTAGGGTTTAGGGTTTAGGGTTTAGGGTCTAGGGTCTAGGGTCTAGGGTTTAGGAACTCGGCTGGTTTTGCTCTTTGTGTCGGAGCTCCAAGGTACTCGGCGCCCGATCATGAAGGCATTGGGTGAAAGCGCATGAGACGGTGTGGGTGAAACACAGGCTCGCAGAAGGGCGTGCAAGAACCGCTCAATTAAAGTGGGTAACGGAGGGTTCAGGGTGTAACTATAGGATTTGGGGGTTTAGGGTTTAGGCTTTGTAAGTGTATTGTAGAAAGGGTGCACATACTGTCCCATGAAGTAGTTTGAGGATCCTTGTCAAACAGGCTTGGTGTTTGATGACGAAGACGACCGAAAGAGTATGAGCTCGGAGCTCGTTGGCTTCACTTCTTCTTGCCGCCCTTCTTCTTCTTTGCTTTCTTCTTCTCCGCCACGTACCTTGCCATGGTTTAAGGGTGTGGTGGACAGGGCTCACTCGCAGGCCGTTGCTGAAGAGTACGGCTGGTGGCATATATGTTGTACACTCGTCTCCGAAAATCACACTACAGCTACATTTTCTCAGTCCAGATGCTTTCAATCTCAACTCCGACATCGTTGCTTGCGCAAGTGGCCCCAACTCGAAACCCCCAAACCCAAACCTTAACCCCTTAACCCCTTACCCCTAAACCCTAAACCTTAACCCCTCAAACCAAGGCTGTTCAGGCATCATTGGGAGGCCCTCATAAAGGGGGGAGGGGGGGATATTCTTTTTACCGTTAGGGCTTCGGGGGTGAGGCTTTTGCGCTATGTTTAAGAGGTGAGAAGGAGGGGCCCCTTACTATACTAACTAGAGTGAAGAGGGTTATAAGCTAAGTGAGGATCCTTTTGACCCAACTTAGGGTCCTTGTAACTCTACTCGTAACTATAGGGGGGCCCCTCCTTGTAAGTATACTCCCACCCCAAATAACTCTAACCTCGAAACCCTAAACCCTGAACCCTAAATCCTAAGCCCTAATCCCCCTCCATAAAGATCCTATACTCCCCTTAGAACCTTAATAAGAATAATATGTTTTGATATCCTCTTAGGTTTTATATGAACAAAAAAAAGAAATCTCAAGAGGCAGATAGGATCAGGCCAAGCTGCTCCTCTCTCTTGAGGATGCCACGCCAATAGGCCTGCAAAGCGACATTACGAGCCAACACTTCCTGTGAAGGACCCCAAAAACCTAATTGGTTGTAGGTTGCTGCCTTAAGAATCCTGCGTAGGGTTCAGGGCGTAAGGTTTAGGGTCACAAGAAATCTATGAAGAGCTCTATAGCAAGAATCGATCACAAAGTAGGTTCTCAAAAACTCGAATGATCAAACCTCCACCTCGGTCCCTGCGTGCGAATATCAATATGTATCGTAGAGTTGGGGGGGGGGAGGGGGGGGGGCAGGTACAACCGAAACTTACCACTGGAACCCAACAAGAAGAATAGACTCTTGCCTCAAGCATTGCCGTGTTACCCGGACGTCCGAGCCAGTAAACTCTACACCCTACACCCTAAGGTCCTGTCAAACCCCAAAACCCAACTAATCCTTTCAACCCAAGGAAATGCCCGAAACACCCTTGGCCCAACTAAGGCCAAAACCCATCTAACGCCCGAAGCCCTCCCTGGCTGCCTTAAACCCTTAACCTAAAACCCCAAACCCCAAGCCTAAACCCCAAGCCCTAAGCCCTAAGCCCTAAGCCCTAAACCCTAAACCCTAAACCCCGAAACCCTCCCTGAGCGCCTGGAGCATGGCAGCCATCCTTAGACAGACAACCGAGCTGACAACCGAGCTGGCTTGGGAGAAATCGAGGCTCGCTTGGGGAATTCAGAGTTTGGGGTTCGGGTTTAGGGTTTAGGGTTTAGGGCTTAGGGGTTCAGAGGTTTAGGGGTTTCGGGGGGTTCGGGGGGTTCGGGGGGTGTAGGGTCTAGAGGCTTAGGGGTTTAGTGGCTTCGAGGTGGGCCGAAGGGCAAACAATAACTGCTTGGCATGCGGCTCGTTCTTCAGCCTCTTCTCGTCGTCCAACTTCTTCTTGCGAGCGGCCACCAGCGCCTGGGGCTTTTAAACACTAAACCCTGAGCCGTAAAAAAACAAAGCGCTAAACCCTAAACCCTCAACCCTAAACCCTAAACTAAACCCTAAAGCCCTAAGCCCTCATGAACGAACCTTGCAGGTCCGGGGATTACGGAGAGCCCAAAACCCCAAACCACCTAAGGCACAAAACCACCCAACAACAGTTTTTAGCGCTTAGGGTTGAAATTAGGGCACAGACGTCGCCACGTGGGGGGATGGCCTTGAAAAAACAATTGTGGGCTTCCAAGCCTTTGAGCAGAGGATTTCAGGGTTTAGGGTTTAGGGTTTGGGGTTGTGTGGGGGTTTAGGGTTTTCTTTCAGAGGCCCCAGAACCTCTGAGCTATGGATCTCGAAAGCAATCCTTGAGGAAATTGAAGACGCCAAGGCGTGGGGAAGTGGCACAGGAGCCTATGCAATCGAGGTTTTGATCCACTTGAGGTCTCGGTTGTAAGGGTCGTCTAGGCTAGCGGCTAGGTTTGGGTTTTATAGATGTAGAAGAAGGCCCCCCCCCCCCCCCCCCCCGACTATACGAACTATACCTCAGGAAATTCCAACCTAAGTTAGGATCCTTTGAACCCAACTTAGACTCATAACTTGGGGGGGGGGGGAGGCGGGGCAGGGAGGAGTGTGTGTGACAGAGGTAAGTACTTGGAGGTTCACGGTACTTAGTATAAAACCCAATTATAACTGTACCTTTAGCCCAATTCTGTCCCTATCAGGGTACTTAAGGGGCTTAAGTGGGTTATAACTGCACTTCTAGTTGGGAGCCCTCAACCCTAAATGCTAAACCCTAAACCCTAAACCCCTATTGGGCTATAGGTACTCTGAACCTCCGAGTAGGGGTGCCTCCTCCGCCTGGATGCAGGCGTTCTCCTCCTCCACCTGAGAACGCAGGGCGCGTGGAGGTGTTAGGGTTTATAGGGCTTACCCCGGGAGGCATACCTAACCCCTAAACCCCAGAGCCTAGAGCCTAAACCCTAAACCCTAAACCCTAAACCCTAAACCCTAAACCCTAAACCCTAAACCCTAAACCCTAAACCCTAAACCCTAAACCCACAGAAGCAATAGGGACTTGTTGCCTACGTTCTTGCTACTTCTATTCTGCACTTCCCGGGGCCTTATCTGCTTGCAGCTAGGGGAGTGGCCCAGTTCAGAGTTCGTGGTTCAGGGTTCAGGGTTCAGGGTTTAGGGTTTTGGGTTTAGGGTTTAGGGTTCTAGGAAGTCTCGAGTTCTAGCGTTCTAGGCTTCTAGGGTTCTGAGGTTTAGTTCGATTTCAAGGGTTCTGGGTTCTGGGGTTCTAGGGGCCTAGGGTTCTAGGCTTCCAGGGTTTAGGGGTTTCGGGTTTTTGGGGGTTTTAGGGTTTAGGATTCCAGGGTTTCGAGGCCTAGGGTTCTAGGCCCAACTTGCAGGTTCAGGGTTTAGGGTTTAGGGTTTAGGGCTTAGGGTTGGAAGCGCCTTGAATAAGGGCATGTCCATAAGTTACCCTAGTTGCAACCCTACTGAACCTCATCAACCCTAGTTCGGGTTTTGGGTTTTGGGCTAAGGACCCCTAAAAAACGTTTCAATGAGAGCCCATCGATCCTGGAAGTGCCAGGCTTCAGCTTAAGGTAGTACAAGGGCCATACTTGGACTATACTAAAGAAACCTTTAGGTACATCCTTAGGGGTGCCAGTCTAAATCCCTTGAAATGTAGGTCTTAACATTCGACATGTACACACAAGGCGCCTTTTCAAAGTGCTCGCGAAGGTCGGCCAGTTGGCGCTGCTCCTGACGCGTGTGGATTCTAGCTCTGCAAGGCCCCATTCGCATTAGGGTTTAGGGTTCAGGGTTCAGGGTTCAGGGTTTAGGGTTTAGGGTTTAGGGTTTAGGGTTTAGACTCGGAACCAAAGCCCTGCGTGACCACATGGCGCTTTATCTTAATTTATGGGGCTTCCCTAAACCCTGAACCTACACCCTAAACCCTAAACCCTAAACCCTAAACTACACCCTAAAATTATGGGCCCACTTTGAGCTATCAGCAAAAGACGCGAATAGAACCCCCACGAGAGCACATCATGCAGATCAACCCTCACGCGGGGGTTTCCGAAAACAGAGGTACCCTTTTTGGGGATCCCTTTCAGGAGATTCTATTCTATTTGGGACACTAAACCCTGAACCCTGAACCCTAAACCCTAAACCCTAAACCCTGAACCCTGAACCTGAACCCTAAACCCTAAACCCTAAACCGTATTTTGGGAACTACTCACATGGGGGGTGGGCGGGTGCCTCTAGGGAAGAGGGGCCCGCAGGATTTGGGGTTTAGGGTAGGAGTGGGAGTTGCAGTGCAGGGTTTTGGAGGTTTTGAAGGTGATTCGGGGGGGCTCTGACAAACCCTAAACCCTAAGCCCTAAACCCTAAGGCCCTCAACCCTAAGCCGTCTTTGTTTTTGGGTCTTTTCCACCCCGTAACCTCATGCGACTTCCTACAGGCGCAGAGAATTCTAAGGCCCCCCGGAATCGGACTTCCGAAAATCGGGCGCTTAATGGGGTCTTGGTATAATATTATACAGGGATCCTTATGATTTTGGGGTCTATGTTACAGGCCCCTGGGTATCGTATGCTATCACTTTTGGATATTCATGGTAGCTTTAACTGGGTGAGTAGGGTAGGTATCGTCACAACTGCGTATTACCCTACTGGGCACTATTGCCGCCCCTCTTCTTACCACCCATAAACCTTCAAGCAGGGTTCAGGGGGGGGGGGGGGGGGTTCTCGGGTCGAATCAAATCAAGCAGTCGGCCTTCTTGAGATGCTCGGCATTCTCACCTGACGAGATGTTCAGGGTTCAGGGTTTGGACCCTTTTTTCGGTAACAGTCCTGAAGGAACTCTCAGCCGGCAACCCCACGCCCTTTAAGTGTCCGATTGTCAGCCTTTCTGCCTTAAAGCTGCAGCTGCAAAACGTTCCTGTGGGGTCGAAGAAGAGCCAACAGAACCAACATGTACCAAAAGCACAATTTCTCCTAATGCGCAGAGAGGGGGGGGGGGTCTCCAAACCCCTAAACCCTATGAACCCTAAACCCTACACCCTATTGGGAACCCGTACAACTGCTACTTATAGTTTGGGGGGGGGGGGGGGGCAGGGCCAATGCCAGCTGTAAACCTTGAACCCACAAGACTGGATTCTTGACTCCTGACCCAGCAACTCACAAAACCTACCCCAAAGGATCCATGTACTTATACAGTATATATTTGCATATTTGGGCCCTAAAGCAACCATGTAGGAACCCCTTTTAAGGCCCAAGTATATACCGTACATGCACGTGGATCCTTAGGGTACCCCCAAGAGTTGAGAGCTTCGGATTCACGAGCTCGTGCGCTCCCACGCATGCGCTCCAGACCAGGCGCGGGCACATTCAAAACATGTGATTTTTGTAGCCCGAAACCCTAAACCCTAAACCCTAGACCATAAACCCTAGACCCTAAACCCTAAACCCTAACCCTAAACCCTAAGCCCTAAACTTTCGGTGGGGGTTTCGGGCTCACAGGGCTTAGGATTATGTGTGAGGGGCTTGCAACTTCCGGCGCCTTTTCGGTTGGGCTTCAAGCTCTGCTAAGCTTGGGGCTTAGTTAGGGTTAGGGCTTCGAGTTTATATTGGAAGGTTTAGGGGTTTAGGGTTTGGGAGTTTACGTTTTTTGGGATTAAAGTCCGAAAAAGCTACCCTTCATCATAGGATCCCGTAGGAGGACCCCAGCTTATTCAGACGTCAGCTGCATAGTCTTGCTTCCGATAAAGCTTTGATGTTTATGGGGCGTGCGGTATTGGTTACTTATTTGCCTACGAACCCCCAAAAAGATAATTAAGAGATACTACTCCCTAAGATTGCCCTTATAAGGAGAACATTTTCTTTCCCAAAAAGACAAGAGATACTAATCCCTAATACTGCCCTGATAAGGAAGAACATTTTCTCATATTCTGGGTGGTTCTTAAGCAAAGAGTAGTTTGGGGAAGAGGGCTAGACCTTCAGCTGTATTTCGGCTGTAGGTGGTCAGGCTTGGGGGGTGAAATGGGCTAGACTCGAGCTTCAGCTCACTTTAGGGTTCATCATGTTAGGGTTTAGGGTTTAGGGTTTAGGGTTTAGGGTAAGGGGTTGGTGAAAAGAAGGGTATCTACAGGTTTTTTCTGGTTCAGCGTCGAGCGTCCTGGGCCCCCCCCCCCCCCCCCCCCCCCACCATGGTATCCCCCCCCCACCCCCCCCACCCCCACCCCACCCCCCCCAAGTCTACTCTACGGTCCCTACCCCTAACCCTAAACCCCCTAAACCCTAAACCCTAAACCCTAAAAAACCCTAAACCCTAAACCCTAAAACCTAAACCCTAACCCTAAACCCTAAACCTTAAGTCTTAAACCCCTAAACCCTAAACCCTGAACCCTAAAACCCTAACCCTAAAACCAACCCCCAACCACACCACAGGGGGGGGGGGGGGGGGATCATCTTAGTACCCCATCCGCGGGGAAAAACTAAACCCTAAACCCTAAACCCTAAACCCTAAACCCTTAAAAAACCCTAAACCCTAAAACCCTAAAACCCTAAACCCTAAAACCCTAAAACCTAAACCCTAAACCCTAAAACCCTAAAACCTAAAACAACCCCCAACCACACACAGGGGGGGGGGGGGGGGGGGGTAGGGGGGAGGGGGGGGGGGCCCGCCGGGGCTGAATCATATATGGCTTTAGCTGTATTCGGGATTGCCATAGGCCATAACTTACTGCTACACGCGTGAAGCTTGAAACCCGAAATCAATAAGACCGCTGGGGCCATGGGCTGTAGTTCTTCGCCAGCTCTTTCACCTCTGTGTCGTACTTGGTGATGACCTGGGCAACAACTTCCATCTTGGGTCGGCGTGCTGGCTTTCAGATGATTTTTGGGCTTTAGTGTGCAGGCTATCCGCAGCTGGCGTATCAGGGAACCCAGCCTCGAAAAAAGGGAATAATCAGGGTACGGCTCGCCGAAAAGAGACTTGCTAGCCATCGGTGTCTCGCTATCTAAACGAAGGTCCCCACATGCTTGTTTGAAAACTCAGCAGCTTGACTCAACAAAAAAGGCCCAAACAGGCCGCAATGGAGAGAAACCCTAAACCCTAAACCCTAAACCCTAAACCCTAAACCCTAAACCCTAAACCCTAAACCCTAAGACTCAGACCGGCACTTCCTACTCAGTTGCCTCGGGTTTAGCGTATTGTTGGTGGTAGCTTTGCCAGGACAGGAAGTTGATGAGGCAAAGTGGGATGTATGAATTAGGGTTTAGAGTTTAGGGTTTAGAGCTAACTGTTTGTTTCTGTGATTGCCTGATCATCAGCATCACCACCACTGTTATGGTTGTTGGTATTAATACTGCAGCTGCAAGACACCTCAATCACATCAATCCTGAACTCAGCCCTCGCATCTTGGGAACGAGCGAGATCCACGTCCGTCTCATAACGCTTCGCCTATGCCAGGGGTCGATGTAGTGAAGAACACAACAAACACAACTGACGCTTGGGCAATTGATTGGTAAGTATTGTGGGCCCTTCGGGGATTTCGTGGTTCAGGGTGGGCGTCCACGTGAGTTTGCGTGCGCTTGCCCTCATTCCAGGCGGCTAGGCGTGTGGTTTGTGAGCATGTCCCCACCCGAAACCATTATCAAGTGCACCCCTGCAAAGTCGGACTGTCGGAATTCTACGGTAGGTTGTCTACACGTGGTGGTTGCACCCACCTTGCGCAGGCTTGCTTGCCTGCTGAGCTTGAATAGCCTAACCATAACCATAAACCCTGAACCCTAAACCCTAACATCCGGCAAGCTGATGCCAGGTCTTTATGCCATTGCTCGTGGCGTCAACGTAAAACCCAAACGGCAAGTTCAACCCTTTAGGGAGTGAGTCGTCAATGGCAATGTCAGGCCCTTTGACCCCCACCCAAAGCTTCGAAAAACAACGGCCCCCTGAACCCAACACGCTGAAGCATAAACCATACAGCCAAACAAAGAACTCTAAGCCCTAAACACTAAACCGTAAACCCTAAGCCCTAAGCCCTAAGCCTAAAGCCTAAAGCCTACAGCCTAAAGCCTAAAGCCTAAAGCCTAAAGCCTAAAGCCTAAAGCCTAAAGCCTAAAGCCTAAAGCCTGGAGCCTAAGCCTAAAGCAAAGGACTCATAAGCTGAAATGCCTTTCGGATCTGATCCATCTCCTCATCCCACGATTGCGCTTTGAGCCTTGCAACTGCAGTAGCCATGTTGGTATGGAGCTAGGCTAAGGTAGAGATTGTACAGCCAATTCAAGCGGGTTGACAAGGTGGGCAAGTTGCAAGCGGTGCAGCAACACATACTTTTCCATGAACTTCGCCAAGTATCCGCATGTTATGTCGCCGGTGTATCAGACACGTTTGTTTGAGACCCCACTACACAGAAACTCGCATACAACTAGAATCTACGTTGTGGAATCTTCCTTTAGACGCACCAGCTCACATGATATTGGGGCGTGGCAAGGCGTAGGAATTCAGGTGTAGGGTTTGCACAAAACCTTGAACCTATACCCTAAACCCTAAAACCCCAGATTCTTTGCTCGATTGGTCCAATCCAGGACGCGCAACAAGTGGCTTGATACCATGGCCGATCATTTGCTTCGGCTTGAGTTGCGAAGCCGGGCCGGCTCTTCACTTTCATTAGACACCTTGACACAGCACTTCTAGCCTGTTCCTAATGGACTTTCGGAAGACAATTCAATTTGAATCATCATTTTACAAAAGGGGCCTTCGGGGGAAACAACTCTGATACGTTGATTGGCGTTTTTTCTTGGTTTTTCTTGCTGACATTTTCTATTACCTAGACTCTTGCGCGCTCACAAATGTGATTTGGCACGCGCACAGGTATGACAATTAATACCGCCTGACCAAGTTTTGAACAGAAGTTAGATTGTACACGGGCTCTATCAGAATGACTATTGTAGCCCGTACGTTTACTGGATTTTACTTACTAAATGAGAGATTGCTAATGATCGCAGGCGCTAACCAAAAGCCGCGTGAAAACATAAATCATGAGCACAGCATCTAACGAATACTAAAATATACCGTTCGCTGGGCTCACTGCGTACACGATTATTTCTGCCTCAGTACGGGATTTGTAATGGAGCTCCGTGAACAGGGGACCACAAGTACTCTAGCGGCGTTAACGGGGCGATAGAAGCAACACAGCAAAAGCCCCTGCAAATACATCTTCCATTCTTGGAAACTCGCACGCCGTTTTCTATACGAATATCCTTATAAGCTGGAAAATTACTGAAAGAGTGAGACAACAGACGCGGAAAAACTACCGTATTTACCGGAGCTTTCGGTGCGCGCAAGAAAAGAAGATAAGACAAATGTGTAAATACGAAGAATTAGATGAAAGACATGCACTGGTGTTAAGAGACAACTACAAAGCGAAACTCTTTACTCTGCAAAATAATGCAAAACATAAACTACTCCAGGCCACATCCCTAAAGTTGGACAAACATAATGCATGGAAAGATGTTCTAAAGAAGGTTGCACATAGAATAGAGCTTCAGAAACTAGAACACCCTGTAAAAGAGGAAACGACATTCTTGACAAGACTCCATATGGTTTTTCTTCATAAACCTCTCCAGACCAAAGATGAAAACTATCCGCAACCTGGCGTTGACTGCATGGTGCCAGGGTAAGGGGGTTCCCATAAGCACACAAGAAGACCCCTGAACGCTGCAATATCGAACTTAACATAATTGGGGTGACATTCGCTGCAGGGGGAGAATCGATTGGGGCTAGGACCGTGCCCCCCGCCCCACAAGGCAAAGCCACCCTAAAACCCGAAACCCTTAGCCCCGTGGCAAGGACAAGACCCCCGAAACCCCTGAGCGCTGGGCTTTTTGTTGGACTCCTCGGCAGTTGAATGAAGGCTTCAGCGGGGCACAAGCGGGTGGCTCAGGGCGTTGAGGGGTCTCTCTTTTGGGTTGCCGGTGTCTCTTTCTGGGTTTAGGCTGCTGTTGTTGTTTGGGTGGGACGGGTTTCGGGGATTCAGATGTGTTGGGGCTCAGTTGGTTTGATGTCTGCGTCGGTACGTGTGCTGGAAACGCCTAAACCCGAAGCAGTGCTCCCATGACGTCAACCCTAAACTTGCCCCAAACTCAAATTTGCAATAAGATCCCTGGAGTCCTTAGAACCGCACTTGAGCTGCGGAACACTGCGCATGCGATGCCCCAAAGCCCGCCTCCATGTCTTATGAGGATGAAGGCCCCAAGTAGGCATGATTCTCCCTCACCCCCGCCCCCGCCCTAAAGCCCCTATATGAACCCTAAACCCCCCCTAACCCCCCCCCCCCTACCCCCAAGCCCAAATCCCCTCACAGTTCAGCTGCGGCACCAGGAGGGCATTGATCTTCTTTTGAAGCTCATCCCGCTTGGCCTCGAACCTGAAGGGGCACCAGAGCTTGGGGGGGGGGGGGGGGGGGGGGGGGGCGCACGACGTAGGTGACACTTCGCTTAGACCCCCAAAGTGGTTTAGGGTTTGGGGTTTAGGCTTAGGGATTAGGGTTTAGGGTTTGGTTGCAATTGGAAGACATGGGAAATGACGTGGGAAACCTATTTGCCGCGACTGCAAAAACTCTATCGGATCGTTAGTGGTACCCGCTCGAACAACGAGACCGCGTGAAAACTAGATTTAAGCGTGATTCAACCGTTCTAGCCACGACTCAATGAGTGAAACCGCTTCTGACATAGAAGAAAGATAATAAGCTCCTTATGAGGTCAGCCAAGATTCCTTTCTTTCGCAAGCTATTAACTTGTAGGACATGACATGCTTCTTGATTGTAATTCATGGTCACGTAAACCCAGCTAAACTGAACAATATCTCTAGCCCTGCTTTTGGAAACATAAGATTCTTATATTCTTGCTGTTATTCTTGTCATTTTCCTTTGGGCAATCAACTTTGACAGCCCTTAAACAAATCAAGTACAATCAGTGACAAATTCCTAAACCCAAGAGTAACCTAGGAATAAAAAAGGGCGCCCTTTTTGGTTGCAAAAGGCTTATAAGGGAAACTACACCCCGAAAACAAAGGAATACGGGCCCTCAGGGTCCCTCTCACCCCGCACTGAGCCCACCACGTCTCTTGGTGCTGATTCATTCGCTGATCGTACTTGTTCCTCAGGCCACACAACACCCTTGCGGCTCTTGGGGTCCCCTGAACCCTAAACCCTAAACCCTAAACCGTTTGAGTTCAAGCATTCAAAAGGCGGGGGCGTCTTCAACAGGCGCGGCTCCGACTTAAAAGCCCGTGGAAAACTAGTCAGGATGAGCCAAAAATGGAAGCTCTCTGTGAGGCCTTCTAAACCTCTGAGCACGGCACTTGAGAGCATCCATCTTGTCTTTCTTCGTGTCCTGGTCGGGCACACTTGGAGGTTCATGGTAGTCAGTATCCCAATTATGAAGCCAGGCATGCTTCACGCGCAAAAAACTCAAAGCCATCCCAACACCCTGCCTGTCACTCTAAGCCCTGCAAATCCAGCCGCCATGCGCGAGGAAGGAGCAACAACATGACGGGAACCTTCACGTTGATGAGGTCTGCTTTGAGTTTCGTGAGGATCTCATTTCCTGAGGCGTACGGCGTGTAGAGGCGTGGGGCTACACAGCCCCCCACCCCACCCCAAGAGCCCATAACCTAGGGTGTAGCACGGTATTCTCCATCCCAGCCTAGCCCTAAACCCGAACCTGAAAAATCCCAAGCCCTAAATGCCCTAACCCCCATTAATGAGTAGTGCTCTAAATTAGATTCTCTTTTTTGGGTCCTATATAATACGGGACCTCGTAGAAAAGGACCCCCCCCAACAAGGGACACTTGGAGAACTAGGCCCTGGGCCCTAAACCCGGTACACGCTCGAGGCTGCGTTGGGCGCTTGAGGGCGCCAGGCTGAAGAATTACAGGCACGGCTTTAAGGGCAAAAACCCTAAACCCTAAACCCTAAACCCTGACCCCGAGGCTCCAAAGACTCTTATGTCAAGGTCTTTGGGGCCCAAAGGCCGTTCTACAAAGGGTTTTTGGGGGCTATTTCGAGCCTAAGGATGAACGCTTAATCCGAAATTCCCCGCGCTGGCAGTCTTTTGGCTTTGTGGTTTGGTTTGAAGGCTTGGGTTTTTGGGGTTTAGAAGGTGGGGGTTTAGGGTTTCGGGTTTTGGGGTTCAGGTGGGTTTTTTTAGGGTTTCGGGGCCTTAGGGTTTTTAGGGAAGGGTCTAGGGGGTTTAGTCTTCTTGGTAGCCCAGTAACCATATTCTAATAAGGGGTACCCTTTTTGGGTTTGGTCACTTTATCAGGGAACCTTGAACCAAAAAAAGGGAAAAAGGGTACCACCTGGGCTACCAAGCAAGGGACCCTAAACCCTAAACCCTAAACCCTAAACCCCTTACCCCTTAAACCCTAAACCCCATACTCAGGGACCATCACTGGGCCAAGGCTTTAGATGCCTTTAGGGTTTAGGGCTTCGGGAGTCCAGGCCGTCAGGTCTAGAGATTCTAGTGCTTTGGGTGCTGGGGATTTTGGGTTCCCGGGCGATTCGTCAGGAATTCCAGAGTAGGGTTTAGGGTTTAGGGCTATAGGGCTTAGGGCTTAGGGTTTAGGGTTTAGGGTTTAGGGTCTAGGACTTCAAGAACAATCGGAGCTTGTGCTGAGCGCCATAGCACCCCGAAGTTTAACATGGAGGAAGGCGTTCCCCAAAGCCTTGGTCGCGGAGCTCACGTGGCTATCCTCAGACTTAGATTCGCAGGTCGCTGTGGAATGCGGCGACCCTGTCACGGCGCACGTCTCCACCATGCTCCTCTACTTAGAGCTTCATGGGTACTTACCAGTGGGGTTAGAGGTGCCATGGCGAAAGTTGCAAGTGCTTGTGGGGCTCTGTTGACCACCCTACTTACAACTAGCCACGAACCTGCAGTATAAGTCGAAGAGCGATGCCTTCCTGATTTTGACAAGAGGCAACCTGCAACAGACACGTGCTCACCCCCAAAACTCGCAAGCCCTTCCGATTCAGAGACCCAACCCCTCAAGTACCTGTGACTGGGCTTCGGATGCGCGACAACGAGGCTCCCCTTCAGCATGAATAGGTCTTCAGAAGCCCCAAACTGCGAGTGAACAACAAACCTTGCAGCTTAGACGTGAATCCTAGACCCTATAACCCGACATCCTGCATCCAACTTCAAGCAGGAGTCGATGGGACTGCGCTCGCTCGCATTCGCGACCTCTGCAAGGGGAGGTAGAAGCTCCCAGAACAAGCTTCTAGGGTTTAGGGTTTAGGGGTCTAGGGGTTTAGGGGTTTAGGGCTTCTGGTGCTCAGTAGGGTGTTCAGGGTGCTTGGAATGTTGCTGCGATCCTTTCCAGTTTTGGAGAGGCTTTAGGGGTTCAAAGGTTTGGGGGTTCGCCCGAACATGAACCCTAGCAGCACCGAAGTTGAAGGGTTCAGTGGCTGAATTGCGGCTTGAGAGTTTCATTGGAACAAGGCCTTTTAACCCATAAGCTATGAGCAAACCCCGCTGGTATAAACGCAAGAATACATGTCCCAAGAAGGCTCTGCATTATGACAGGCGGCCGGAGAAGGGTTTAGGGTGCCCATCTAGCACCCCTAAACCCTAAACCCTAAACCCTAAACCCTAAACCCTAAACCCTAAACCCTAAACCCTAAACCCTAAACCCTAAACCCTAAACCCTAAACCCTAAACCCTAAACCCTAAACCCTCCCACCCTTCTCGGCTCCCGAGCGAATGGTCCGCAAGTCTGTGTCGAGCTGCTGCCGCCGGGTGCTCGCCTGAAGCCCCAACCCCCCTACAACCCCATTTGAGGGGTTTAGGGTTTAGGGTTTAGGGTTTAGGGTTTAGGGTTTAGGGTTTAGGGTTAAACCGTTTATCTCGACCCAAGTGTAATAGCCTAGGAATGAAAGGGTGCCCATTTTTGGTTTAACGGGGCTTCTAAGGAAACCTAAGCCCTAAAACGAACAACAAGGGTCTACGCCGGGTCCTAGTTATTTATGGTCCTAGTTATGGTCCTTTTTTTCAATTTGCAAATTGACCAATGAGTTTTTGATAACACTAAGGTCCTTAACATCTGCCCTCAGGCTTTGCAATGTGTGTACTGGTGCAGCTTCGGTTCTTCAGAAGCGGGCTTCTGCACGTCACAGAGACCGCCAAATCAAAAACCCTAGCCTAAGCTACACCAAAACCCTAAAAACTACCCTCAACACCACCATGCCTGGAAACACACAGAGAAGCCAACACGGTAGAAGGCGCCGAAGGGTTTTTTTCCTACCACCCACGCATTGTGCAAAAATCCAGGAACGCTTCAGGGTTCAGGGTTCAGGGTTTAGGGTTTAGGCAACTGCAGAGCAAGCTGGTCTATGCTTTCTCGGAAACAGCGAGTCCAGGGGTAGATGCCGATCCATGGGGTGGCCGTTCAACCGGACCTACTAGGCACCTTGAACCAGGTGGCTCAGAGACTCCAGCATCACTTACCTAAAGAAAACCGCCTGAATTACTATTACACGATGCTATAATTCTATAATCATGTGGCATTCTTAACAAAAACACGTATTGCAGTCTCTGTGTGATACCAAAATAAGATGAGGACCTACGCAAACCGGGCCGACAGACCCGGCTCACTCGAAAAGGCAGAGTTTCGGGTGCAAGGCGGGTTTAGGGTTTAGGGTTTAGGGTTTAGGGTTTAGGGTTTAGGGTTTAAGGTGTAAGGGGGGTACTCAGGGCTGATATGAAGCTCCAAGCAACCACTGCTCTTCGCGTCAACTATACCCAAAGAGCAGGTCCACCTACTCCGAACCCTCCACGAAACGCATAATCTCTAAACCCTAAACCCTAAACCATAAACCCTAAACCTTAAACCCTAAACCCTAAACCCTAAACCCTAAACCCTACACCGATTTCGGAGGCTTCCGTACCCTGCCTCGGCTTCACGGCTCTTGTAGTGCCTGAGGGGCTTCCGGGTACCGAAAAGGTTGAAGGTAGGGTTTAGGGTTTAGGGTTTAGGGTTTAGGGTTTAGGGTTTGGGGTTTGGGGTTTCGGGTTTCGGGTTTAGGGTTTAGGGTTTAGGGTTTGGGTTTAGGGTTTAGGGTTTCGGGTTGAAGGTTTTGTCAGAGTGGGTATGCTGGGCAGCTGGGAAACCTCAGTGGAGAACCACGTACGTAGGGACTATAAGAGGGTTGACATTGGTTTGCCCGGAATTCCCTTAACCCTTGAAGCCCAAACGTCCAGGCCCCCAAAGCTCTCTAGGCCCCTCTGAAACAATTTGAAAGTAGAGAACCTCAGGTACCCAAGCCCTAATGCCTACCCCCAAAACCCAAACCCGAATAGCAGGGCCGTGTATTTTGACTCGAAGGACGGCTGTAAGGTTTAGGATTCTAGGTGCAGGGTTTAGCTAGGGTTGAGGGTTTAGGGTTCAGGGTTGAGGGTTGCGGGTTGAGGCTTTGGTTTTGGCCTTTCTGCATTGAGAGCCTTAGGGTTTAAGGTTTAGGGTTTAGGGTGTAGGGAACGTTTAGGGAGGTTTAGGGTTTAGAGTCTCGAAGGCCTGAAAAGCCCTGTCTCAATCCTGCTTATACTTGGAGGTTCATGGTACTTAGTAACCCCACTAAGTACCCAGTTATACCCCTGTTAGGGTGCTTAAGGGGCCTATAAGGGGCTAGAACTGCACTTCACACTGGGTTATAAGTCTCCGAGCAAAGGTTTCAAGGTTAGGGCTTTGGGGTTGCATTTGTCCTACTTATTGGGCTTCAAACCTGGCTTGGAGGTTCAGAAAGCCATGCTCGTGGCTCTGAGTATTGCAGCTCCTCATGCCTAAACCCAAAACCCTACACCCGAAACCCTAAACCCCAAACCCAAACCCCAAACCCGAAACCCCAAACCCCAAACCCGAAGCCCTAAACCCTAAACCCTAAACCCTAAACCCTACTTCTGCCCACAAAACCCTGAGCACTGGGGAGCCCAACTCCAGGAGCTCCTGTCGGCTCTTCTCCTCTTCCACAGTCGTGCTCAGGCCTGGTGTAGGGTTTAGGGTTTAGGGTTTAGGGTTTAGGGTTTAGGGTTTAGGGTTTAGGGTTTAGGGTTTAGGGTTTGGGGTTTGCGGTTTAGGGTTTAGGGTTTAGGGTTTGGGGTTTAGGGCTTCGGGTGTCGGGTTTCGGCTTTACGGTTTAGGGTTCAGGGTTTAGGGTGTGTGTATATATACAAAGACATAAATAGTTAATATGATATAGTTATTTTCTATGTGTGTGTATAACCCATAATCTCAAAGAGCAGGGTTTGTTATTTTGGTTTGGGGGTTAGGGGTTTAGGCTCAGGGCTTTCAGGGTTTGGGCTTTTCAGCGTTCGGGGTTTATAGAGTTTGGGGCTCAAGTTTTCATTGTTTTTAGGCAGTCAAGCCCTCTTCACAGGGGGGCGGGAGGGTCATCACGCACCGGGTGAGGAGGAACGGATGTTAACACATCCCCTAAGGGTCCATGTACGTTATTATTATATACTTGGGCCTTAAGGTACCTCCTATACAGGGACTTTAGGGCCCAAGTATATAATTATGAGGTACATGGACCCTTAGGGATCCACGGATCTTGGAAGAATGTTGGATTCTTGGAGCCGAGGCGACATTGACATATTGAACACAAACAAGCCATGTCTATGTTGTCTGAAATCTGAGAGTGAAGATTGTCCGGGAGTAGTTGTGAGGAGATTTTTGACGCAAAGACTGCGAAATATTGAGCATACTGAGGGGAAATCCCACATTCCAAGAACCCAGCTGGCCAAGATTGCCTCGGAACTTCCCCTGCGTCTTGGACTTAGTGTTGGTACGGACCTATCAACGAACAGGTTCCCACGGCGTCCCCTTCTCAAACCTTAAGCCCGAAAAAGCCCTAAGCCCTAGAGACCCTAAAACCCTCAAGCCAGGGCCCAAAAGGCCCGAACGCCCCCACCTACAGCCTCCCCCTAAACCCTAAACCCTAATTAACGCCTAAACCCTCGGCCCCAAGAACAAGCCGAGGCCGCGTTTCAGGGTGAGCTCCTGCATGTCTGCGAGCGTCTTCAAGAACCTGAGCTTCCCCAACAGAGTGAGTTGTCCTGTTGCCGTTCAGCCCCGCAAGGTGGAGGGAGAAGGGGTTTGGGGTTTAGGGTTTAAGGTTTAGGGTTTAGGGTTAGGGCTTGTGGCCTTGCTCCCCTCTGGACCATGTAGGGTCTCCAACACTTAGGGGGTTGCGTCGTTTTGGAGGTCCTCTACATCTATAAGGAGAGTATGTGTTGGGCTTAGGGTCCAGGGTGTTTGGGGTTGGGGGGGGGGGGGTACACGTCAACCCTAAACCCTGAAACCCTGAAACCCTGAAACCCTGAAACCCTGAAACCCTGAAACCCTGAAATCCTGAAACCCTGAAACCCTGAAACCCTGAAACCCTGAAACCCTGAAACCCTGAAACCCTAAACCCTAAACCCTAAACCCTAACCCCCTGAGGCATCCTGAGGCCCAGCTGGATCATCGCGGCCGGCCGGGACTCACGATCTTGAAAGTTGCGGAGTTCCTGTTGCGTGGACTTCCCACAAGAGGACTGAGTTGTTCCAAGTACGCCCGAAGACCTTTCACCCTAAACCCTAAACCCTAAACCCTAAACCCTAAACCCTAAACCCTAAACCCTAAGAGCAGGGGCTTCTGAAGACCTGAAAGCCCCTAAAACGCCAAGACCTTACAACCTAGGACCCAGAGCCCTTTTTCCCTTATAGGGGTTTAGGGTTTAGGGTTTAGGGTTTTAGGGTTTAGGGTTTAGAGTTCCCTTCTGAGCCTCTTAACACCAAAAAGGGCACCCTTTTCCATTCCTAGGTTACTCTTGGGTCTCGCAACCTCAAAAGCCTGGGACCTTTTAACCCCAAGCACGAAACCTGAAAGCAAAAAAACTATGTCCACCCCTCCTGCACGATGCTGGGCACAGCTTTCATCTTTCGGCAGAGCCTTAGCGCGCGGAACTCTGAACCCCAAAGCCCCCCTAAAACCCAAAACCCCTAAGACCCTCAAACCTAAATCTCCAAACCCTAAACTCCCAATCCAGGAGTTTCCCCAAAGTAGCTGGCTGAACTTTCCTCTGCGTGTGCCGTAGTCGAACACAGGGGCGAGACATGTGCAGCTGAGGGTTGAAGGCAACGCCTAGCCCTCAGCTTATAACGCTGCTAATGCCGTAGAAGGAGCTTCATGGTACTTCGTAGCCCAATCATAGCTGTACTTAGAACCCAACTGTGAGCCTACTAGACTTAAGAGGCTTGTAAGTGGGTTAAAGCCACACTTGCCATGAATTAGGTTATGAAACTTGGCTGCACGTAGTAGGGTAGCTATAGATTAAACTTTCAGCTGCCTTATTAAGAAACCCAATAAACCCAAAAAGGCTAAGGATCTAAAGTTACAGTAAAGCACCACAAAGGAAATACCCCGAACCTCCAAGTAGAGCCGATACACCGAAGCCCCAAATCCTTCAACCTCATAGCTTTCATGTCTGGGACCAGATGGCAGCCCCGCTCCAACCTAGGCCCTACACCCTCCTAAACCCTAAACCCTAAACCCTAAACCCTCAACCCTGAACCCTGAAACCTAAACCCTGAAACCTAAACCCTAAAACCCTAAACCCTCAAACCCTAAACCCTCAAACCCCAAACCCTATGTTGCGGGGCCGGGGGGGGGGGGGGGGGGGGGTGTTTTGAACCCCTACACCTGCAAGCGCGCCTTCACTCCGAAACTCCAAACCCCAAAAACTGCACCCTAAACCCCAGACCCTAAACTTTAGGGTTTAGGGTTTAGGGTTTGGGGTTTAGGGTTTAGGGTTTAGGAATTTAGGGTTTAGGAATTTAGGGCTTAAGGGCTTAGGGACTTAAGAGCTTCAGGGCTTCTAGGTTTTAGGGTGTTCGGGGCCCTCTAAACCCCATACCCCTGCACTCCCATGGCTAACTCCGTATGGCCCTGAGCGCTGCACTCCAGGGTATTCTTCTGCAGAGACTTCACATCCTTTCGTGGGCTGCAGGACGCGGCATGCAGTAGGGCTCGGGGCTTGGAGCTTCGATTTTGGAAAAGAAGACTATGCCCGGGCCTTTTGGGTTTTAGGGTTGTGGGTTTGGGGTTTTGGGGTTTAGGGCTTGGGGTGTATGTTCCGGTAGCCCGAAATGTAAGCCCTGATGAGCTCCGGCTTTCGAGTGTAGGTTGTACTGCCCCATGCAAACAAAAAAACGCCCTTGATGACAGCAGCAGTACCAATAAGCAGCAACGACAGCAACGATGAATTAATCACTAGACCGAAGACTAGCCCAGGTAGAAATAGGGTTCCCTCTTTGCTTTAAAGGGGACTACAAGGGAACCTAAACCCTGAAAAGGGGAATAAGGGCCTTCTCTAAGGCCTCGATCATAAGGCGAATAAGAAGACTCTCCCAAGCATCCTGATAAGCCTGGGGTGAGGGGCGTAGGCATTACCCCCATGCACACAAGCTGGTCACACCATTGTAGGCATTACAGCGCCAGGTTTCCGTCAGATTGGATACATCCTCCAGCTCACGGCTTCTACGCTTCGCACCGACCTCTGCGCTCTTCAGTGATTCTGTGCCTGTTGATCAAGAGCTCGCAGACCTCCTCAGAGGTCTGCACGGTGCGAACCTTCGGCTCCTTCATGCGTCGAACGGCCAAGTCTCCCGTGGTGGTGGCACTCGCGGCCCGAAACCAAGGGCGGTGGGCCGGAAAAAAAAAAAAAGGCCTGCTGAGTCCCAACACCTAAGTCCCAATAACCCTAGACCCTTAGTCTACAGGGTTTAAACCGAACCAACTCAACTGTCTGGGTTCAGGCTGCAAGGATCTTTTGCTCGGGACATCGCCTAGCGGCCACTCAGTTCCTGACGCCCAGTTTTACGGGTGCTGGCTGAAACCGCCGGACTTTGGGCTCAGACGAAGCAACGCCCCACGAAAGGTTCGTGTCAAAGGCCCTGTTACTTGGACAAACCAAGGTACTTGGGGCTTAGGCTGTAGGGCTACTTCCAAAGAAAGTACATAGACATCGCCCTGCCTGGCGCGGGCGTTGGGCCTTGAATTCCGATAAAACCCCCCACAGAAGCCCTAAGCCCCAAACCCGAAACCCTAAGCCGCCCTAAGCCCTGAGCCCTAAACCCTAAACCCTAAACCCTAAACCCTAAACCCTAAACCCTAAACCCTAAACCCTAAACCCTAAACCCTAAACCCTAAACCCGAAGCAGCCCTTCCCTCTTCTGGCTCCTCGCGCATCTCCTCTGTGTCTTCGTTGTGGCTGTAGCCTGTCGCCAGCTGCAAGAAGTCAACCCGAGGCACTACTTGGAGGTTCAGGGTTTAGGGTTTAGGGTTTAGGGTTTAGGGTTCAGGGTCCAGGGTATATTAGCAACTGTACTTAGAACCCAATTCTATCCCTTAAGGGGCTTAGAAGTGGGTTATAGGTACAGTTATAGTTGGGTTACTATAAGTACCATGAAGCAGCTTCAACCAGTTTTTGAAGAAGTACGTCAACCTTACTTCGCACTCCATACTAATGTAGGGTTTAAGATGATTCTCGTGCTGGGGTTCCCTTTTTGCTTTACCTTAATAGGGTTTAGGGTTTGGGGGGGGTACTGGGAATGATGGCGTGCCAACTTCTTGGAGAATACTATCAGAAGACAACAGAAGTCTCTGTCACAAGCAGATTCGCCCACGGCAAGGGCCGACAAAGTCTGTTCCTAAACTCCCGGTGTGCTATAAGGGCCGGAATGATTATTTAGAATTCCCTTTTGGCCCCCTTAAAAGCCCTATACTCCAACCGTTAAGGCCCCTATTTTATCGAGCCTTGATTACAATTGGGGTCCGTCGTCGCAATGGAATCCCCCTGAGCCCTAAACTCAACCTTAAACCCTAGAACTTGGGAGGTTCCTGCTTACACTAACAGTCCTATGTAGGGATTATAATGGGGGGAGGGGGTACTATGGTCCCTATTAGGCACTGTTTGTATAATTAAGGGGGCACATAGAACAGTGATTCCCACAACACCGAACCGCAGACCGGCGTCCAGCCTCAGCCTGTCCCCAAACCTGAGGCACCAAACCCTCAGACAATGCAGCCATCGGAAGCCTGAGCCTAAACCTCTAAACCTCGCGCCCCGCATACACCCCTACATGTGTTGGACATAAGGCATAATACTAAAATCAGCACCCCACAAGGACCCAATACCTGCATCCCGAACATGAGCTACCCCTGCATCTTCGCTTTTCACCACTTCACCCGACGCCAAACTTCGCAGCGTGCGGAGGAGGTCAGGCCCGCCGTCCACCGGGCCTTTGGTGGAGGGGTGGCAGTGTTGAGGGCTTAGGGTTTGAAGGAGCTGGGGTTTAGGGTATAGGCTTTAAGGTTTGGGATCTCCAAGATAACCCCGAAGCCGAAACAACAGCCACCGACCGCGCATGTCTCAGGCACCCAGTCGGACTTAAATCTGACCTTTGAACCTGAAATCACAAGAGCAAGATGTGCGCACACTACGCGAACTTGTGCATCCTAGAATCTAAACCCTAAAACCCAAAACCCAAAACCCAAAACCCAAAACCCTAAACCCCATCTCCAAGATGCGAAGCCCCATACCCAGATCCCACCATCCTCACGCGCAAGAAACCCGAAACACCTTCAGGTGCGAAATCAAGTGGGTGTAAGGTTGTATAGTAGCCCTCAAACACTATAAGGCCTAAGCCGAAGGCCCTTCAAAATACCCCCAAAAAACCCTAAAAACTTCCCAACCCCCCCCCCCCCTAGATCCCGAAAAACTACGCGCGAATGCTTCACCCCAAAAAAACCTGCAAGAAAACCCCCGAAACTCTAAACCCCTTGCAGGTCAGGGGGGCAGGAGCCGCGCCCGCACGGTTCCTGCAGCTGTTCCGCCCTGTAGCGAATCCTCAGTGGGTTTGGAGTCAGGGTTTCGGGGTTTAGGGTTTATAGGGTTTATAGGGTTTATAGGGTTTATAGGGTTTATAGGGTTTATAGAGTTTATAGGGTTTATAGGGTTTATAGGGTTTGTAGGGTTTAGGGTTTAGGGTTCTAAGTTCAGGGTCTAGGCGGGTGTAGCTCTAAGGGCTGGAACCCTGTTTCAAGGGAATCTGCGAACTACTGGGCATCCTATCAAGTTGTAGGGGATTTCAAGTGATTTCTGGTGCTAGCCTCCCTAAACCCTACAAGCATACATATACATCCATATATACGGTCGCCCCTCCACCCCCAGCCCAATGGACCAACCTCGAATATCTAGCAGCTATAGGCTTTTGGACACTACATGTTCTGATGGTTTCCTGTGTTTAAATTAACATTACCGACGATGTAACCAAAACCAATGTGACCTTTTAATATGTGCTAAGCCTGGCCCAAAAGTGAGACAAAACAGCAGACATTTAGCAAATGGTCAAAATTTGTGCCTTTGTTGGCCAAGCTAGCAATTGTAGTGGTGTTGGGAATCGTGGCTTGGTAACCACCGTCACCATCGCGGCAGGACACGATTGCCTCCTCCAGGCTGCCTCCCGAACTGGAAGAGAATCAGGAAACAGCGACAGCCTCCACGCACACCCGACACAGACAAACACAACCCGACGCAGCTCCCCGGACGTGTGGGGCCGGGCATCTCGGCGAGTCGTCCACCATCCATAGAGCTACTTCCAAATTTGTGTGCATGCGCGTGTGGGCCGTGTGGGGGGCGGCGCAGATACCTAGCTGCTGGCGTTGCTGGCATCGCGGTGGGTCATACTACATGAATAGTTATTGCGTTGATATACGCAGGGCGCGTTTATGTGCGCTACGCCGCTACGAGAAATCACACACTCACACAAAAATGGAACATGTAGCACACACACACACATACCCACCCACCCACCCACCCACCCACCAACCCACCCACCCACCAACCCACCCACCCACGCACCCGCCCACGCACGCACGCACGCACGCACGCACGCACACACGCACTCACGCACGCACTCACGCACGCACTCACGCACGCACGCACGCACGGCTTCCAAAATTTTGTGTGTGCGCCTGGGACATACTTAGCTGCTTGCAGGGGGGAGATACTTAGCTCCCGTCTTGCGTGTGCATCTCATCCTTGTCGCTGGTCGACGCTCTGTGTTGATACTAGATACACAAGATGCTTTCATTTGCGCTACAAGACAGCACACATAGTATATTTTACCAGGACATTCAAAACAACATGCAGCGCACATCGTGCCACCAGAAACGAGACAACATCCGGTTCACCAAATGACCCAGGACGCCGAAAGGAAGGAAGTGCCCACCGCTCTAGGGGAAATCGCACAACTGCCACTCGCGGATAATTCTCCTGACTCCTGGTTCACCGTAATTATGGCCCAGGACCTGCAGAACAACGTGCTGCGCACACCGTGCAAAAGAAACGAAACAGCCTCCTGGTTCACAACATGACCCAGGACACCCAAAGCAAGGCACCTGGCGTTCGGAAAGCGAAGCGCGTGGTGCTGTAGAAAAAATCGCACGCTCACGATTCGCACAATGCATGCTCAACCGGTGGCGCCTCCCTCGCACAACTCCATGACGATGCCATCCTCGGTGGAGAGTACAGCGAGGAGCCGGACCCGGTGAGGGTGCGCCAACCCGATCATGGACTTTTCCTTCAAAGGGCATTCCAGCAAGGTCCAAACCCAGTTGTGCAGCGGAAACGGTCCTTGTCCAGCTGGCCGGTCCACGGCACTTTGGCCAGCTTCCGTGCCGCCCTGCAACAATTGTTAAAGGCATCCTCTCCTTTTGTGACTAGGGGTTTACACTTGCCTCTCGCCCTCGTACTCACCAACGATCACAACGGCGAATGCTCCCTGGCAGAAGAAAGGGAAGGCCTGAGCTCGCTGAAAGCAGCCAGGCACAGGCCTTGCCAAGGATCTGGGCCATTGCGCAAAAGCGAAGCAGAGCGGAAGCGCTGAAGGCGAGAAATGTCACTTGAGCACACAAGGCAGCGGCTCCATTTAAGGGCCGTCAAGCACAGAAGCCTCACGTTTGATGGAAGTCACTGCTCCGTGAACAGTTCTCGGGATGCCATCAAACAAGTGATGCTGCTGAGACTCCTCCACGACCCTTCTCTGCCGTCCTGAAACAATTCGCAAACACTATGGGATAAATAACCGAATACATAATTGTGGAGATGAAGGTATACCGGCATGAATTTGTGAACAATCTAAACTGTGAATACTAGATAAAACATATAACTATCAAGCATAAGAATAAAGATTAAAAACGACAAAACATCATTGTACGAAAAACCGAAGGCATGGGATTTCATATTCTGACCCGGAATATCGATTCCAAATAAAGAATACCAACTACGCTCCAAAATAGTAGACTATCTCATAGCAGAAATGTATGTAAATTAAACATTGAACCCTAACAAAGAATTTCTGTCGTATAGAGAGATTAACGTAGTTTAAAAACAAACAAAGACTAATCTCTCGTAAAGGTCTCCTAGCCCCGCCCCCCCTCGATCCCAGGAAGCAGATCAATCCACCTCAAATTACAAACCAATGTGCGAAAATGCGATTGAGATTTTCGAAGCTCAGGACATTGGATTCGGGCGTCAGACAAAGCCCTGCCGTGATCTAAAGATCCCGCCCACCGTGGCTCGAGCATGCTGCCACTCGCTTTTCTGGCACAGGAAGTGTTCCTTCCTCCTCTTGGCAATACAAATGAGCACGCCGCTGACATGTCGAAGGTTAACAGGAAGACCAGAACGAAGAAGCACCGAGACGCACTAATAATGGCCAGAACCTTCTTCGTTCCCGCACTACGTGCCAGGAGAAGCTGTTGGGTAGAAAAACGCGGCAAGCAGGTTAGACGCCACCAGCATCCTTTCATGACACATGGTTTTTGTGCTTTGCTGGCACCACTGAGGGCCGTGGTATCTATGGAAGCAACGACACACTGTCGGAAAAGGACTGCAAGCACGACCAAACTCCGCACCCTACGCCCCAAACCTCTTCCACCACGCAGACGGGCACTGCACGTATGCACGCTTTTTCTCCCGCAAGTTAATCACCAGAATCTGGCCGGTCGCCAGCACTTTGCCGGTGTCGGAACTCCTGCTTCATCGAAGAGCGCGCGCTGAAGCACGAGGTCTACACAACAGCCTCTGTTTCGGTATACTGGAGTTTCTAGAAGGCTATAGATGGGTCCTTGCCCTTCTCGAAGAAGCCCTCGTCGGACCACAGAGGCCAGCAGTTCCTCCATTCCTCATGCCTGCATGCAGGATGTAGCATGAAGCTAAGCTCCGTTGCCAGGAAGCCACAGAAACAAGGTGCTTGGAAACACAAGCCAGCGCAAGAATCTGGTACTGGAGAATCTCCATCAAACTCAATGTTACAGCTGCAGCCCAGAAAACGAATAAGATTATCACGAGGACTATTCTGAACATCAAGCAAAGCCAAGCAGCACTTCAAAGCCACCCAAATCGGGACACAAGCGATGTTTCAGCACCTCAGCTCAACTCTGGCAGGACACAAGTGGTCCATTCCTCAAGGATCCCTTCATGGCCGGACACTTTGAACCCCTGAGCCAGAAAAAAAGGAGACATGGAGGAAAGTGCAAAGACATGGTAGCAAGAGTGGCAACGCAGAAACGGCATGTATTTTACACAAACAGCTGAAGTGCCCCGCTCAGCGACCGTCCGCAGGAGCCCCGTGCGGATGTCACCATACTGCTCTTTCAAACATTGCGGCAACTCACCCCAGCGGTGCATGGGGAAGTCTTGGTTGGCCTTTAGAGAATGCCACCAGCACCTGCGATCGCTAGTGTTGGTTGCACTGTCTGGCTTCTTCCAGAAGCCGTTACACATGAGTGTAAGGCGGCCTCTGTACCGGCCGCTGGCCATTATGTAAGGGCTGAGCGCAAGTGAGCACTCCTGACATCGCCCCCATTTGAAAAGCCGAAGTGGCTTTTCAGTAGATGTCGAGCTGCAAGTTCGGGCCCGCTTGCTTGCTGGAGTGTGGATGGCAGCTTCGGAGGAGGAAGCAACAGGACTAGAGGCCAAGGGACTTGACACAAGCTCAGCCGAAGTGAAAGTAGCACGCTCTGACATCTCTGGAACCTGATGAGAATCAGCAAATCCCGAAAACTAGTTAAATTCTGCTATACACTAGAAGTCTCATTCCTAAAGGTTCACAGACACACGTGAAAAAGTAGACTTATGTGAACAAGCAACAGTAGAAGTCTCGGAGAAACTAGCAATGGGGTCATCGGAGTCTGTGTCTGACACTTCCAGGACTTCTCGCTGTTTCGAAACTCCCAAAGCCACTGCGACACGTCGCTGCCGAAACCACCAGTTCTTCCACTCCTCAGGGCAGAAGGAAATGGCACAGAGCAGCACATGAATGCACTGGTAGCATGGACGATATCATCATTCGGCCATGGCTACATTAGTGACATGACTGCACTGAGAAAGAGTCAGAACATGTGCAAGTTGTCCCCTGCATGCCTGTGTTCGTGGAGAGTCGTCGTGACGAACAGGGCTGCGAGGTGAGCCCAACTGGAGGAAACCAAGGTCAGCATCCATGGCTGACATAAAGAACCGAAGTTCTTCGAAACCCCCCAAGCCCAGCCCGGGAACAGGAAGAGCTAAACTTGAAACTTTCGGTATACCACCTCATGTGTTAGGCCAGTGTGGGAGGTATAGGTAGGAACCCTAAACCCGAAAGTCTAGAGGCACTAAGCTGAACCCTTAAGAAAAAACGCTGGGCACGGCTGAGCCAACATGGCGATGAAGAACACCTGGGCGGGGCAAACGAAGGCGATGGGGCCAAGTTCTAGTTCTTGTGGTGTCAGGTCGTGAGCACGTGCCTAAGGCATCCCAAGCCAGGCAGAAAAGATGTGAAGTGCACGCCACGGCATTCATGGCCTGGCAGAGTTGCCATTCACGAGATCCCGCTTGAAAGCAGGCCAGGACATTTCAATTGACGTCAGCGACATCAAAACCGCATCAGCAAACAGAAGACCAGTTGGCAGGTGTATCCGGCCAGACTATCCGGAACCCGAGAAGCCGAAAGGAATTTGAACAAGATATAGATAAATAGTAAATATCTTTCCATACTTGATTCTAAGTGGAATTCCTTGAAGAGGTATTGGAGGATAGAAAACAGAAAAAAAAACATATGAAGAAGAAGACAAGCACAAAGACGAACTGGAAATAGACAAGGACGGCAAAGAACCACTTGAATGTTGGATTGTACATGTAGTGTCCTCCGCATAGCCATTCTATTTAAGATGGAAAAGTTGCGATAATAATAAATATGAAATTGGTGTAACTCCTCATAAAATCATGTGTCCCAGAGGTTAAACATAACCTATAAACGCGGTTCCCATTACGAAGAAATGAATAATGTATACTGAACCCCAAACTTTCCTGGAAGAAGCTCCAGGAAAGCTTGGGTTTGAGGATTTTGCATGTTTTTAACATTCCTGGTTGGTCCGCCCGCGGGGGAGCGTACAATAAACACATATATGTATATGTATATATGGCTGGCTGTCAAAATTATGATCCCTTTTGGGGTACCCTAAATATAAGGTGCCGTATTGTGGTAGGGATCCAAAAAGGGACCCTATTTTTGACAGCCACCCATATATATATATATATATGTG